TGGGGGGGGGTTATGCTTCAGCATTTCTTGGACAGATGATCAAACCTGTTGTTCTTTTCTTCCTCCAGCGTTAATAGATGTGCCAGAGAGTGGGGACGAGTCTCCCCGACCGCTGCTGCTGACTGATTTTTCTGATTTTGAGGAAAACTTTCCTGTTGAAGCGTTGCGAAAGTTCTCCCTTCACGCCTTGTCAGTGTTGTTGGCTTACAAAGCGGAATTGTCAGGTGGGTTGGTTTTGTCAGTTTTACTTTGAGATAGAGAGGCACATTGAAATTGTACCGGCCTCTTGCTGTTGACACATCACAGCACTGTTCCCATTTAATTAGTCGGAATTGAGTGTGGGTAAAAAGAAGCACATGATTGTTTAGGGCAGGAAAGAAGTTTACTTTTAGTCAGGTTTTACGGTGCTCGCAACTGTTTAAGGTCATATGAGCGCCAAGGGGTAGATGTCAACAGAGAAGTCCAAACGGAGAATCAGACTTACCCTGCTCACCTCTCTAGCCTAAACAGCACAAAGTCTGCTTCGACTATCAAGGCACCCCGGAAATAGCAGTTCACAAGAGTGTGACAAACATACAAAGAAAAGGAAAAATGACGATAGTAAGGATGAGGAAAGAAAAAGCAGCAGTTCCCCCTATGTTGTTCCGGCACAGTATGAGCATGACATTGATAAATCAGCCCATTTACAATTCTACTGTGCATAAGAACATGCTAATATCCTCCCTTTGGGAATGGCCTAAAGACACCTCAGTCAGTAGCACTGCCTCGGTGGGTGGGGGGGGGAAGGAAAAAGCGAGACAGACAGAAACAACAAAGAGAAAGAAATGTGTGCGACTTACTGATGGCTGATGGCGGCCGTCAACCCCGTGCCTGTTACGCAATCTGGAAATGGAATGATCTAAGTCTATTTACCTTGGCTGCTTCTGCAGCGACTGGGAATAGACGTTTCATGTTCGTATAATTTCTTATCAAAACCAACACTACATGATGAGATCTTGTTCATGCTTGAGACGTGTTTCTTCAGCAGTTGCTTGAAGGAGTCTTCCTGGCTGCACAGAGGCTTCTAGTTACATCTTGCGGTTATAAACAATTCAGAGGTGGTAATATTCTACTTTTTAGACTGTTATATGTTGTTATATTATAGTCCAGGACCGACCAGGCCTCCAGTGGGTTCAATGTTAAGGAAGTTTGTTATTTTTGTCAAAATGGGATTGTGTCACGCTGCAACACATTTTGTTGTGTTGCTACTCATTCTTTCGTGTTGCTACACATTTTTGCTTTGTGGCTACACATTTTGTCGTGTTGCTACTCATTCTTTCGTGTTGCTACACATTTTTGCTTTGTGGCTACACATTTTGTCGTGTTGTTACTCATTCTTTCGTGTTGCTACACATTTTTGCTTTGTGGCTACACATTTTGTCATGTTGCTCCTCATTTTTCTTGTGTGGCTACTCAGTGTGTCTCGTGGGTATACATTTTGTCATGTTGCTGCCCATTTTGTCATGTTGCTGCTTAGGTTGTCACATTGCTGCCCATTTTGTCATGTGGCTACACATTTTGTCTCATTTGTCATGTGACTACACATTTTGTCATGTGGCTACACATTTTGTCATGTGGCTACACATTTTGTCATGTGGCTACACATTTTGTCTCATTTGTCATGTGACTACACATTTTGTCAGGTGGCTACACATTTTGTCAGGTGGCTACACATTTTGTCATGTGACTACACGTTTTGTCATGTGGCTACACATTTTGTCACATTGCTTCACATTTTGTCATGTGGCTACACATTTTGTCACATTTTGTCAGGTGGCTACACATTTTGTTGAGGCGGAGTGAGTGGGTATGTGATGACTGTCCTCACTGGTTTCTCTACAGCTGAGGAAAGTCTGAGGCAGCAGGGAGACTGGGACCAGCTGAGCACGCACGACACGATGAGAGAGATGATGAAACAGGTAGCTGTTGGGGGCTGGAGGCACAAGGCTTTTGTCAGAACACAAACAATTTACAGGGTTCTCTACATGTTCTTTGCGGTTTGTTGGAATTTCCATTTCTCAGGCTGAAGAGCTAGATCTCAGATGGCTGCTGGGTCGGAGAAGTACAAGTAAAAAGTATGAATTTCCAGACTTTGAGAGGAACGTCAGAAAATCTATTATGGTCGAGAGGTTGCGGTGTTCGCCTCGAATTCAATAGGTCCCATGATCGAAACCTGAGAAGGACGGAACATTTTCTTTTCTAAAATGTTCTCCTTCCACCTTCTTTCCTCCTCTTTAACCATGTTCTGTCGTCTGCTCTCGTCTCCACTTTTTGCCCCCCCTCCCACCCCCAATCCCCCTTTGCCCCCTCCTCTGGGCTCCTGATTCTTTCTGCAGTCTTTCTACTGCTACTCCTTGGCTCCTTCTTATTGCTACCTTCCAGCCGCACCCCTGATCTTAGGGTAGGTAAGATCTAACACCTAGCCTTCTCGGAAAAAAAGCAAAAACTCTTGGAGGTCTCGTCTGCAAGGTGCTCACGTTAAAGATCCCTTGGTGGTCCAAAATCGATAAGAGTAGGCTTCGGCTGCCACCTGCGCAGAATTGAAAATTAATTCTTATGAAGACTAAAAATGTGTCCCAGGCGCTCATATGAACGTATGCAATTGTGAGCGCCGTAAAACACTTACCAAACGAAAACAGAAAATCAAAATCTAAATTAGATCATCCTACCAAGAGTGTAGTGTCTGTGCTAAAAGGTATTGTGAACGTGAGAGACTGAGGCAAGAGCTCATAGACTAGAAGATGTTGCCAGGGCAAGTAGGATCCTCCTCTTTTATCTAATGGTCTCGACAGCTGTTTTGTTCTTAGAATTATCCTGACTCAGGTCAGACTTCTACCCATGCCTGATTCAGGTCAGACTTCTACCCATGCCTGATTCAGGTCAGACTTCTACCCATGCGTGGTTCAGGTCAGACTTCTACCCATGCGTGGTTCAGGTCAGACTTCTCCCCATGTGTGGTTCAGGTCAGACTTCTCCCCATGCCTGGTTAGCATGGTCAACAAGTAAGAAGATTGATTTGTATGATTTTCCAAATCAGTATATTGTAACGGCATCAGAAAAAATGAATGAAAAAATAGAGCCTTGAAACTGAGCTAATGGAAGAGGTTTGATAATGCACTCTTAGAATGATATTTCTTGGTACTAATCTTACATAGAATCGACACGAACAGAAAAAACTAGCGCAAATTTCCTTGGAATTCTACAGTTTTCCTTCGATGTTTTTTTTCTTCAGTAGAATTAAAATCTGGCCCCAATATCTGCTTCCCGAAACAGACATCGGTGATTGTGGGTGGAAAATCTTTACGTTGCTGGGATGGTAAAATAATTCTATACATAGTTCTTCTCTTTTCCCATCATTATCTGCTCAATAGTTTCAATAAAATGAGCCCAATCCTGAAAAATAGAAACATCTCAATGAACACCAAAATGAAAGTCCTGAAATGCTATGTTTGGTCAACCCTTCTATATGGCTGTGAATGCTGGACAATCATTAAAGACAGTGAAAATAAAATAGAGGCCACAGAAATGTGGTTTCTTAGGAGACTGCTAAGAGTATCGTGGAAGGAAAAGAAATCAAATGAGGTAGTGCTTGATGAAGCCCACGTGGGACGCTCAATGTTAAAAACAATCAGGAAACGACATGCTGTTTTTGGGACACCTGAATAGACATACGGGTCTTGAACATCTAGCTCTCACTGGCAGAATTGAGGGCAAGCGAGGCAGGGGTAGGCCCAGAACAACATACTTAGGGAACCTAAACAAATGGGTAACAGGGAAAAATCAGGGAAACGTAGCTTTTTTGAGAGCATCCGAGCAAAGGAATGAATGGAAAACCATGATCGCCGATGTCAGTCGCAGATCTGCCACTGGATGATGATGATGATCTGCTCTAGTTATCCTGGCAAGTTCCCTCTTTTGCTCTTTCTACCCTCAGTGAGAGCAAGACGTTGAAGGAGGCCTTTCTGTTGATTCATCAGTGTCTACAATGAAAAATGTGGGAGATTTCAGCCCTTGTTTATGGGTGTACTGATGTCAGCTTTTGTGTTCTCAGCTCTTCTTGCTTCTGGATTGTGAAGAAGTTGTGGGATGTCTGGAGCGTTTCCTGGCAGCGGGCCGCATCAACGTCAGATCCGTCTACACGTTCTCCTCTGCTCTCCTAGTGTCCTATGAGAACGCCGCTCCTGTCTTGTCAGGTGAGGTGGTCTCCACAAACCGTTCCGCTGGTGGTTGGAGGGTGTCATTGATAGCTCCTGCTTTTCTGTCCCTCTATTATTTCGGTCTTATCTGTCATTATCCCCCCCCCCCCCCCCCACACACTAAATGAACGTTTTGTGTCAATGAGCTTTTTACACCAACAAACCCAAACCCTTCTGTGGCTGGTAGAGGCCTCTCTGTGTGGTATCTCACTGGAGAGATAGATGGCAAAGACCAAGAAGAACTTACTTAGAGAACTTCTGAACAGATGGAGGACAAGGAAAGGCCAGGGTCATGCAGTTGTTTTTGGAAAACACCTTAGCTGGGAACTGAGTGGCGAAATAAGATTGCATATGTCTGTACCAGGTCTGGCACTTATCGGAGGAGACGTATTGGAAGTGGATGGGAGGAGTTTCCAGCTTATAGGTCCATAGCTGTCTACCAGTATGTCAAAAAAATGTATTTGATGTATGTTGAGGGTTCGAGTCCGTTTTTGTGTGGGAAAGTATGTATTCTCCTTTGCCTAGTTTTTGCTCCTCGCGGTTTTCATGATGCTGAAGAAAGGTGAACTTTCTAGAGCAGATTTGCAAATGATTGTGAGAATGAAGGCCATAAGTCGATTGTAGAGATGTGCAGGTTTTCATAAAACATTTTGGACATAATCGTTGCTGGTCTGCTTTGAATGCAGGAACAGAAAAGTGTGTGTGAATGACACCCCATGATGGGGGATACTTGGCCACTGCCCTCCATCTTGACAAGTTGACCTGCCATGTGGGTAGTCTGTACTTTGGTTTTGAAAAAGTTGACAGCTATGTAGGTCCTGTTTTGTCCCTGTTGTTCGGGTGATTGTGTTTGTCCTTGACCTTTTCCCTTCCACAATACAGACTGCTGTCTGTGCCGTAGTGCTCAGGGATTTTACCCCTGTACACAGAAGACATGTGTTCAATTCCCATGTTTTGGACATTGTTTTAGGGAGCACCTCTTTCTGTCTGCACCTTGTGACTTCTGGATTCTCACATGAGACTGAAAAACTGGTTCTGCCTGTGGGTGGTTGGAGGGTGCCATTGGCAGATCCTCTTTTTCTTTCCCACAGCTGTTTCTGTCTGTCTGTCTTGTTTTTTCCTGGCTCTAAATGACCGATATTTTGTTGACGTGCTTCCAACTTCTTAGACAAACAAACTCTAGTTGGGCGTGCTGTTCCTCGACATTTGTCTGTTGTGGAACATTTCTATGATGCACAGCATAAATGGGACAACTCCATCATTTGTTAAAACCTGGTTTTGGACTATCTTGTAAAACAGTGTCAACTACATCATCTCTATAGATGGTATAAAATATCAGCTAAAAGAAATGCATGAAACATGGACATGAGATTGGAGGTGAAGTGGCCTGTGATAGTTTTAATACATAGTTTTTAACCTGCCTTGTGAAATAGGCTTCTTGGGAGATGACCCCACACCTTAGATTTATGTTGTCAGTTACAGCTTATTTCAGGGGCAGATTTTCCTTCTCCTGTGCCTGTAGGGTGAATGATCTCTCTGTCTGTTGTCCAGATAGGGTGAATGATCTCTCTGTTGTCCAGATTGGGTGAATGATCTCTCTGTTTATTGTCCAGATTGGGTGAATGATCTCTCTACTCTGTTTGTTGTCCAGATTGGGTGAATGATCTCTCTGTTTGTTGTCCAGATTGGGTGAATGATCTCTCTGTCTTCCAGATTGGGTGAATGATCTCTCTGTCTTCCAGATTGGGTGAATGATCTCTCTGTTGTCCAGATTGGGTGAATGATCTCTCTGTTTGTTGTCCAGATTGGGTGAATGTTCTCTCTACTCTGTTTGTTGTCCAGATTGGGTGAATGATCTCTCTACTCTGTCTGTTGTCCAGACTTTGTGAAGAAACGTCTGAGTGAGGCTGTGGAAAGTAGCAGCGTCCAGCAAGTTGCCTGCGCCCTGCTGCTCTCTCGCCTCTCCTCTCTCCTGGGCCCACATCTGTTCCCGCCATATCAGGATTGGTTCCAGGTGAGTCGTGATGACCAGAGACAGAGTTTCTTTTTTCCGCCATGTTCTCATGAGATAGACATAACACAGGAGGTCCCTGTCATAGCCGAATCCTGTTGTAGACTGGGATCATGGTTACAAATACTGGAACTAACCATTGATGAATGGGATCGTTTTTGTCACATAGATTACCCACTTCCTCTATATCATGTATTGCTCCTTTATTTTCCTTGGCATATTTTTTTCTTCATCTTTTTAAATCTAGTACCTTAGAATCTTAGTCTCATGGAGGTTGACTAGACATTGTTTGAGATGCAGGGGTACAGCATGCGATGTGTTCTTTACAACTTTTTAAAAATGGAAGAGTTACCACAGGTGGAGAAAAGACTTAACACACATTGGTCTGCGGTAGATCTAGCACCCAGTGCCTTCTTTACATTTAGTCATGATTTATTTGTTTATTTATTCCTGTCACAAGTCTGGCTATCTCTCTGGGAGACAATGTGACGATGTGGTGCCAAACCAAAGTCATGCTTTGTCACTGACTGGATAGTTGCATCAACACCAAAGGGCATCC